CAGGAGCTGGAATGACACATGGCCGCAACAGTGGGCACAAGCATAGGAATGCTCGGTCTGATGAACCTCTCTTTAGGAGAAATAATGGAGCGAGGTTCTTGGTCTGACTTAGAAAGTCAGCATCCTTGTTTGTAAGCAAAATGCAGAGATGGAAATGGGTCAATTTGTACAAATCCATGTGCCTTTAAGAACAAAATTTCAAATTGAGTCAATCTATCAATGTTATGGAGGTTAGCTCCAAATCAGGCCAAGTGACATGAAAAGAGAATTGAGGAAACCAGGAGTCCTGCCCTACGCCATGAGCCCACAGGAACACAGCCAGATTGACAAGGTCAAGGTGACGGCATTGAATGTATCGTGGAATGCCCTTGGGATCTAACTAAGGCCCGAATTGCCACCTCACATGATAAACGAGTCTCAAATTATAGAAACATTATTATGTAGTGAGTGAATCAGTAAAGCAAAACTATTTCAGAAAAAGTGTGTAAGCTAGTGCGAGCCCAGACTCTGCTTATGGGAAGACACTTTGCCAAGTGGCAGGTTGCCTCTTTTCTGCTTTCCCTCTTTCTGAGCACGTGTAATGCTGTGGTTGGGTGCCCCTCCCAGGGCGCCTTGTCCAGGACCCCTGCAGGACTCCGTGTGCTTGCTGGGCTCTCAGAATCACTCCACTCCTCAGCCCCAGAGCTCTGTGCATTGGCACCTCTTTCTTCTGCTAGCAATAGATCCACCTCAGGATCCTGCCTGGCTGGCTTCTCCAGGCAGTGGATTTTTCCATTCACATTTCAAAATAAAATGTGGCTCATGAGTGCAGTCTCTGCCAAAGTCATAAATACCATCTCCGCTTTGCAATGAGACTCTTTTTGAGGGAAGTTTTCCTTGGAGTTTTGGAACACATATGTTGCTGATTTATAAAAAGCAAAGTACGTAGACTAACCACAAACAAACTACAAAGAAATAAAGCCAAAGGCTGAATTCAAGAGTTTTCCTTTCAACAAACGAAGAGAATTACTTAAAACATAGTTCCATTGTCTTTTCACTTGAAAAGGCTCTGCAAACGAGGGGTATCTTCATAGTAGTTTGTTGAAGAGCAAATGAAACATATAGTAGCACATGGATTTCAAGATGGCTTCCACATGAATATATAAACCAATAATTGGCGAATGGGCCAAAGATTTCCATGACCAGTAGTTCAAAGGTAGCAATGTCCTATTTAGATATGCACACACACACACACACACACACACACATGCCTGGAAAGCAGAGAATCTGGTGTTTTATTACCTAGTTCTCAATTCCTCATGTTCTTAAAAAAGAAACTATTATCTCTTGGTAGGTAGCCATCTAAATAAAAAGAAAGTAAGAGTGTGGACTGAAGAAAATTCCAGTAGATGCTTGTTGAGAAAGTCTTCTAAGGGATTTTTAACACATTAGAACAATGTGAGATGTAAGAAAATTAAAATTAGAGGAAGTTCAGCATTAGAAACCTTCAAGAAACCCAGACTTCCTTTTCTATTATTTTCAAGATGTGGACTATACCTCTTTGTTTCAATTCTTGAAGAAATTGACTGTTGGAATCAAATGGATTGAGGAAATAATGGCATAATATGAAGTAGATATATTTCATATTGATTGTCTTGTACATGGACAAATAGTTTCAACTGAAATGAGATCAATGCATGTGAATAAGTAATATGGTCACTGTGATTAAGTATTAATATTTATTCATCTATTAAATTCATTCACAATGAAGGTTTTAGGCATTTAATATGCATCACATTTATAAAAAGTTAAGATTTCAGTATTTACATAAATTATGTGACTATGGACTTCAAGGAGCTTCCCAAGTAAGTGCTCTATTATTACTATAAAACATATAATTAGTATATACTCAAAAACTTCAAACTCACTGCCACTAAGTTGATATGACTCATAGCAACCTTAAAGGGCAGGGGTGAGTTGCCTTTGTGCATTTCTGAGATTGTAACTCATTAGAGGAGTAGAAAAACCCGTGTTTCTCCCAAGGAGCAGCTGTTAGTTTCAAACTGCTGACCTTGAAGCTAGCAGCCCAATGAGAAGCCATTACGCCACCAGGGCTCCTAGATAAATAACAGATGATAAGGAATCGAATGTGCATGTGGCATGTGGCAGCCCGTGAAGAGGCCCTAAGAGAGGCTGGCTTTGGCTTCTAGGAGTAGATGAGAGCTGCACTAGCTCAGTAAACAAGAGAAATGCCCTTTGTCTTTTTAAAGTGCATTTTAATATCTGAATGAAAAACAATTTAGAAGCAGAGAAGAGAGATACACCAAGCAATCTATCTATGCGCTGCAGAGATTCTAGGCCATTGTCCCTGCAGAGGGTCCCAGGGAGACACTAGGAGTTCCAAGCTTGGATACAGGCAGTCAGTCCAGGTGCCAGACATTCCAGTAGGTTAAGGAGACTAGGACACTCCAAATGACTTTGTTGGCACAGAGGATGGTGGATTCCTCTCCACCTTCACCCCAAGGCACGGCCCTGGCAGAAATGACCTGAAGATGGTGATGAGGATGTATCCTGATGGGGGAGGGAAGCACATGCTGAGACAGGAGGGTTCTATGGGGGTGGGGGGTGGGGGCTGAGAGGTAGACTAGAAGCATCCAGAGGTGGTGGGGGGAGGGGTTCACTTGCCCACAAGAGATGGTAATTCGAGTTGCTGGGCTGCCTACCTGCATGAAAAGAGGCAGTCAAGAGAAAGGAGGAAATGATGACAAGAGAAAAGAACTATATATACTCTGAGAAACTGATGGGGTAAAGGTAAGATTGAGCATGGTGGTCTTTGGTATCATGACTTGGTACAGCTAATTCTTCCTGACAGGAAGGAGAACCCTTGAAGAACCTCGGGAAATGGCAAAGCCAAGTGTATGGCTGCATTGAAGGAAGCTGTGCTGAAATCTGAGAGATGGATTAAAGAGTGCTGGCAAAAAAAGAAAAATACTTACATGTACTTCCCTGAGGTAAAGAATCTAAACATGGTAGAAGATAGATATTCAGGAACACAATGAATAAAATTGGTATGTTTTGGTTTTGAGGGAATGTGTTAGTCTGTGCTGGGTAACTAGGCAGATGGCTTGGTGGGTAAATGGGTGGTCACTCCACATAGTGACCCTGTGATGTGTCTATTAGAGATCTAAGGCTTACGGTGCTAAACCTTCTAAAGAAACAGAAAATGGAAAGGGGGGAGGACATCGGTAGAGAGATGGGGTTAAGTGCTATGTGGGCAGCGTGTCTATAGGATATTGGCTATATGACCAGAATTTCTGAAGGATACCAAGGCTTGAGATGCACAGATTTGAGAATATCAGCAAAAGTATTTGTGCAAATAGGGATGATGAATGAGCTCACCCACGGAGAGCACGTGGAACGAGTAAATGGTCAGAATAAGACCCATTTTAGAGGATTGAATGCTGCACAGAGAGAGACGAGTCCACTAATGAGAAGAGACTGGGAAAGTGGGCATTTAGAGAACTAGGTGGAAAATGAGAAGATTGCACTGTTATGGAAGTGAACAGAGCATGTCAAAAACAGGAAGGAGTTGAGATTTTCTGTAGGCAAAATAAATCAATATTTTGCCTTTAAAGACATTGCAAAGATGTGATAAACAAACAAACAGGCCTTTGAGCCTGTAAAAAGAAAACTCGTCAAGACCCAGGTGAGCAGAATATCTGATTAAGGAAACAGGAACTGCTGGACAGGTTGTGTGGTATCAAAAAAGACGGACGGCTAGAATGCTGTGGGACGGCATTCTCTTTGGGAATTGGTACATGAAGAATACATAAATGAAGAACACCCCTCCTGATTAGGGAACTCGTCTTTGTCCCCCTTGAGAAGTAGGCACACGTTCGGCTCTTTATTAATACCCCATGAGCCTTAGTCAGAGGCGAGCTAAGAAGCAAAGATTTAAAGAAATGAAGATTCAAGCTATGCATCGATCTTGAAGTCATGGAGTTAATTAATGATGGATATTAGATGAAAACCCAATTGTAAAATAATCCACAGTAACTTACATTACATCAAACTCTGAAATCAGAGGTAAAAACTGGTATTTAAAGGACACATTATTGTAAAACAAGAAATAGAATAAAAGCCAATAGACCAAAAATTTTAAAAATCTTTAAAAGGAGAAAAAATGCCTCCAAACTGCCCACATATTCCAGTTGGTCTAAAATAGTTTGTTTTTGCTTATTGTTCTTTTAATGATTAGTAGTTCTCACTGCCTTGACTCTCAC